CATTCAATCAACACAGCTACGTAAATCCACACCTACCTACATTTACATACACATACGCACATGGACCCAGGATGTTACTGGTAATTTTGCAACATTTTTGTACAATTATCCGCCAGTGGTGTTTGTATTAACAAGATCATACCTGCACAGGTGTGCCTCGCACTCTCGAGAATGAACGATGTATTTATTTATTTCACGAGAAGACAGCTGCCAAAAATGGAGTTTCGTACTGATGTTCCTAGGGGCTCTGGTGGCACTAATCTGTACTTGGCGACGTCAAGCTGGAACAATTTGAGTGAGAAACGCAAAAACTCACTTGCGATCGTCTAGCATTTCTATGTGGTCGTTTATTGCTTGCATGGCCCATCATACTTTGAGGTCATCAATGAAGTGTGACAGCCTTGAGGTGATTACTCCCGCGATACTGCTGATGAAAACCAGACATTGACGCGGCTCTGGTCCCGACATTCAGACGATGTTGGGAACAAGGCTATCTACCGAGTTAAAAGTGTGGTCATCGGTTTCGCATTCTGAAGTTTGTGAAGACAGACTCACGGAAACCTTGAAATCAGACTGAAAAGTGTCAACTGCTTCCGCAACACCAACAGATTACTTCCAGCTGATACAGGTTAACACATTTTTCGTTTTGATTGAGGGGTTTTGCCTGAAGCCATGTTGATCTAACACAATGACCATGCATTCTCTGCATACTCCATAAATGCTTCCGTGACAGCCCCCAAAAGCATAAAAAAGGATCGAAATGCAAATACTCACTCGGTGTTTGTGGGTCCCGCGCAACTCATCCCTTTGCGAATTGCTTTGATTTATCCCTGCTTCTGCGTGCTGGGAACCTACAGTTCACCAAAACGTCATTGGAAAAATCTGAGACGTCGGCTCAGTTGAGTTTGTATGGGTCACGCTCAAAGCGTCTGAGTGCCCATCATTCCCATCAGCTAAGCTGTCCCGTTCGGCCAGATACAAGAAGTGATCACTAAGGTTTGTGTTACTGTTGAGCTGCAGTAAAGAGCGGTGCACATCTCATGCTCTATGTAGGAGCATGTAGGCCGTTATCAGGTCGTTTCATAATCCACGATACCGTCTGCTTACTATTCTCAATTGTCTCATGCTCTCTACGTAGAGCAGATTATTCAATCCTTATTTGGAAGCCCGAGTATCAAGTTTCTCCAGAGCAGGGAGATGCTATTGAAGTCACAGCTTCCAGACTTGCAGTATGTATTTGATGTGAGGATGAATATAGGCGTTGAGCCACTGCTAGTAAATGAAGATGTCGATATATCCGAGTCTAATGCTCCTTCAAGAAAACGCGACTCTAAATTATTGCCAGAGTCGTCTTCCTAGTAAATTCAAGTTACTAGCACATTTTAATACGCATATCCGACAAGGGCGCCACGGTCACTAAGCAGGTATCCTCTTATTCGTGAGATATTCGGTTTCCCCGAGAAAAAAACGTTGCGGTTCCTTTTCCCCGAAGATCAACTCATAAGTTACGACTGGCTTTGAGCTAACACGATGACGGTGCTACGAGATCTGGTATCGAAGAACGCAGATAACGCACGCTAGTGTCTATCCTAATTGGATTGTGCAATCCGCAGACACTACTTGCTTACATGTTTTCAATGGGCGTTGGGGACATCTGTGTGGGTGTCGGCTCAAGGAGCTGAAAAGCCCATCCTAGATCCCCACTCAAAAGACGCCCTAAAGGGCACCCAACATCTTCTTTTATGCGAACCAGTAGGAACAACTGCGGGGCCTCCTTTACAAAGGTGCTGCTTTGGCTCGCAAGAAGGGTCGCTCCTGACTCCATCAATATGAACTTCGCAGTGACAAACGATACCGGTGATTGTGTGGGGACCTCATTATGTCTTAGCAGATTTCTAGGGACTCCAAACACATGCGCCACCATCCAATGCACTCAATCACAACAGCGATCTGAGACGCCGGCATTTCAAGCTGACAGAGCTGTTGGGCTTTTCGGATTTCCTTCGGAATTTCTGTTCCGTACGTATTTGTTAAGCAATGAAAAATAAACAATGATTTATCACGGAAGAAAAGCAAGTGCTTGACACGTCCCGTAGGATGGTGAGGGATGGATACGATGAAAGCAATATATAGGTAGGTCATCTACTGAGCGTCTACCGAGATGAATGCATTAATAAATCACGTCCGTGTAAAACAAAATCCTGGGTAAGCATGCATAAATACACGGCGTGCAGTGAACGTTGATGCTAGACGTGAAAAAAGTAATGCGTGGTCGCTCAGTTATACACCACATTCTTTGGTCTATGTGACACATGAATCCTGTACGAGCACATGCTACGCGGAAGCAAAACTGGCGTAATGTAGATAACCAAGGGTTGGAAGCTAAGAGCAATGTCCAATCGGGAGGAGAGAATTGAGTCTGGGAGTGCATTCTAGGGTTGGCAAAGCCGAAGGAAAAAACAATTGCGTCGACACTCTAGACAGCTATATTGTTCCCTCAACTTCAAGCAGTTACTCCTGAGCTGCGTGTTGTCTCTGTTTCAGCAAATGTCGGCATACGTGCTTGGGGTCGCTCAATATTTGGTACGCTGAAATGAGACTTCCGCGAAGCATTCGGTAACGTCCGCTGAAAACACAGTAACTGCAGCCTCCGGTGGTAAGTATGATAGCACAGGCTGTTTACCTTCTTTGTTGCTCTTCGTTGTGGTGTTTCTAATGCCTCTACGTCGCGCTTCAAACAAGTTTTCCAAGCTTTCATAGCCTATTCAACGTGTGGACGCACGTAGGAATTGTGCATCATTGGGAAGACTGATGGGCCAAATCGCCCGAATGCCCTTCGCACCATGCAGATGTGCTGGCTGCCTCTTTTCGCAGCTACCTCAGACTGTTGTGAACAGTTAAGGTCAATCTGTACCAGCACCCTAAGCTCACTTTCCTTGGAATTAGTCTATAATCCGCGTGCCCTAAGCAAATACGTGTAGTTATGTCTATGGCGCAATTGCACAATGCGACATTTGTATACGTTGATTGGTAAGGCGTTTTGAACTGACCAGTTTGACACTGTGTTAAGATTGCACTGATCGTTCGCCAAATCTTGATCTCGCCTATAAAAGGTAGGAAATCGGAAGCAGTGAATTTCGCCAAATCGTTAATGAATGCCAAGAATAGACGAGATCCAAGCACCGAGCCTTTGGTACACCATGCTCCAAATCAATTGTATCGGACAGAGATTCCCGGACTCTTACCTCCAACCGACGTTCGTGTAGAAAAATGCTTATACAACTCAGGATTGGGACGTCATTCTGAAGCTTGTGAGGGAGAATTTGATGGTCTAAACTATCAAACGCTTTTGAGAAGTCCAGGTAGATGACATCGACTCCTGCTCCATCATCAACAGCTTCAGTCCAGCTATTGCGTGCAATAAACAGGTTAGTATTACACGAAGATTTTTGACGGAAGGCGTGTCGCTCTGGGATTATTAAGTTGTGGCTTTCCAGATGTTACATTAGTGCATCGGCAATGATTGATTCCATAGATGTGGATAGTACAGGAAGTAGTGTTGTTGCACGGGAGTTGGTAGGGTCAATGCGGCTACCTCCTTTATGAATAGTAGTGATGATCCCTCGCTTCCATACTGGCGGAATATGGTTCACTTCTAGACATCGCTGATAGAAAACAGCCAAGGGTCCTGCTAGATCACTAGCAACCGCCCTCAGAGCCTTTGGTCGGAGGTTGTCGAGTTCAGCAGAACTGTGGATACGCAAGTATAACAATTTCTCCAACACAGATTCCGCATTGAAGGTGATGTTGTCTAAATCCGACGATGGAGTAATAGAAAAGTGGGGAATAGTTGTGCTCGTTACCTGTTGGAAAGTTTGGGAGTAATGAAGCCGTAGGAGATCAGCTGATTCCATTGCTAATCGCGTGCATACATCAGCCGTGACTAGTACTGGAATCCCCCGCTTCACCTTTCAAAGGACGTTGACGTGCATGTACAGAAGTTTGCGGTTCGTGCAGAATCGCTTCATTAACTCCTGCTGATGCGTGCCCTTGTCTTCGCAGATCAGTTCCACACAGAAGTTACGATGTGTCACGTATGAAGTCCAGATTTCGGCATTTGAGCAGTCCTGGTGATGTGGCCAAGCCAAATCTCTCCGGGACATACATTTACGTGTTCTGCTCCTCAGAAATGACTTTTGCTTATTTATGGATTGGAAGGACTTCTGTTCCGATGCGTGCGCTACCAGTGTGCTAAACGTCCTTGTAAAGGTTCCCCAAGCAACATTTGGGGGCATTCGGTTAAGAAAGTCCAAGATGTATCCTTAACAAGCGTAGATAACACGTTATAGTGCTTGACAGAATGCACTTTATCATCCTCCTTTTCAGGATACTCCGCATGGCATATATAGTCAAAGTGTAGAGTAACATGGTCACTACGACCCAGTGGTGGGCTTGTAACTAACCCGTCAACCATGAGTTCTTCGTTAGTGAGCAGAAGATCTAATCTCGATGGCTTGTTAGCAGTTCGAAATCTGGTGTGAGAGGTTACATAGTTGTACAGAGGGTGGTTAGCAAATACATCTTGCAAGCATACAACACCCTTCCGGAATCTCTCATAAATGCTTACACGCTGGTAGTGTTCAAAGCGCTAGTTGACCGTGTACCATCAACAAATAAGTGTCTGTTAGATATTTCATTACCTGTCAGTTTCCAGCGTACGCTCCACCTCTTCCACCTCTTGCACGTGGTCATCAGGAATTAACATGACTTGTACGAACATCCCATTTGTCATCATTCCCCATGGATTTGTGGTTGTTAATGCGTATTCCTCTGAGTCCACCGATGAGAACTTACTTTTTGTTGGCCTCTCTTCAATATTTTGCGGTGTTTACTCTGAGCACCCTACGTGATCTTTTAAGTGTTAGATTTTTACCCGATGTGAACTTGAGGTTAGCATAAGAAAAACTGATATGTGATGCCCGCAACGTTTCCCAAAAGCTATGGTCGTGGAGCTAAACAGTGGTAACTAGTGCGTAAAAATGCGGGTTGGGTTGAAGGCTGCATATCCGTTGCATTCATACGGTGTACGATAGCACGTTGTTGATAGCGTTGAAATTAGCTCGGTGGGAGCGTAGAGTCGCCTGAGTCTCTATACCAGATCGGAACGAATTCTTACGTGCGCCCTCAAGCTGAATACGCCAGTCAAGCTAAGCAATCTTGGTTGAAGCGCGACCTGTAGGTGCTAGAGACACCACAACGCAGAGCAACAGAGAATGTCAATGGTATACAAAATATGTCCTACCAGCAAAGGCTGCTGTGTGATCCTTAGAACGTATGTCGTCACTTGGTGAAACGGACACAATACCAATCTCAGAATTAACTGCCTGGAACTGAGTGAACAATACAGCCATATAAAATGCCGACGGAATTATTTTTCGCTTCGGTTTCACCAACCCTGAAACTCTCCCAAACACAGCTGTTTCCTGCCCACCTTGGATATTTTCAGCAAATGATTGGATGTGGCTCTCGGCCCCGAAAAAAAAGAAAAAAAAATAAAAAAGGGGGGGGGGGGGGGGGGGGGGGGGGGGGGGGGGGGGGATAAAAAAAAAAAAAAAAAAAAGAAAAAAAAATTTATTTAAGGGGTTTTATGTTTTTTTTTTTTTTTAAAATAGGGGGGGGGGGGGGGGGGGGGGGGGAATATATAAATAAATTATTTTTTTATGGGGGGTGTTTTTTTTTTTTTTTTTTTTTTGGGGGGGGGGGGGGGGGGGGGGGGTTTTTGGGGGTTTTTTTTTTTTTGGGGGGGTTTTTTTTTGGGGGGGGGGGGGGGGGGGGGGGGGGGGGGGGGTTTTTTTGGTTTGGGTTTTTGGTTGGGGGGGGGGGGGGGGGGGGGGGGGGGGGGGGGGGGGGGGGGGGGGGGGGGGGGGGGGGGGGGGGTTGTTTGGATGTGGGGGGGTGTTTGGGTGTTTTGGGTGGTTTGGGGAATGTGAAAAGATGGAGATGTGAGGGGGGGATTGGGGGAGAAGGAGATGTGGGTTAAGAGAAGGGGGGGAGGGGTGGGATTGATTGTAAATTGGGTATATTAGGGTGGATTTGGAATGGGAGAGTGGGTAGAGGTTTATTATTAGATATGGGAGGGGGTTGTGGGGGGGAGTAAAATGAATGGATGAGGGTGGGGGATTGATTATGGTTGGGTAAGGGGTGTTTATGGGGGATTGGGGTGATGAAGAATATTAATAGTGTGAGGGGAATATTTGGTTGGAGGAAATGTTAAGGTGTAGTGTATTAAATGGAGTGATTAAAAGGATATTAAAGGTTATTTAAGTGGTTCATTCGTCAGACGCAAACTGATGCTGTGGTCCTTTGTTTCCGGCTCGGGTGAGCGGGCATCTAGGGTCCAATTTCGTGATTGAAAGCGTGTCAACTGTGATCGAACAGATGGCGTGTAGTTAGGACCAAATCTATCCTTGAAATCAGTCGAGGTGGTTGAGGAAGAGTAAGCGGGCGGACGCATGCAAACTGGTGCTCACATACAGCAAAGGTGATTAGCACAGCTTAAGAATGACAAAAATGCACTTGTGGTCGGGGAAATGTTGAACAGTGTGTGGGTCACCACAAGCACTCAGGGATCAATCAAAACGCTGGTTTAAGGCGAGGGAAGTAATTTTTGAACAGGAATTGTGACAGTGGTCAGTCAAGAAACGACGAGGTGAGGCTGGGACGCCTGCGGCGGTGGGACCTCTACTCCGGACATTCACGTAAACTTAAGGAAGGTCTAATTAATCTTACATTTGTGGCGCGACACAGATCAAACGAGTTTCCCGAGTAAGAATACGCAGGGAAGACCAGTGTGATTAGAAACTTCGATATGGGTCCCTACTTGGGGTTACCACGTTCAGTAAAGCGTTTGGAAGTTTACTGGAGAAGACGGGTATGTGGTAACCAAATGGTGGTCTGCATCCCACATGGTCATCAGCGTTCTGTCGCTCTGGAAATTTGGGGCAAATTGCACTTATGCAGTTAAAATAGTGCAGCGATCAGACAGAAGGCATTGTGTGCTAGGTGTTCTCTGTCTCGTGCATACGTACTCCACTTTCAAGCGCCTGTCACCTTTTCTCAGAACGTTGTTTATTTCAAACCATAACCGCTGCTTAGTCATCGATATTGCAATGCTATCTTTTGCTCCAAGCTACACTGTAGTTAACACGGGAAGTCTGTACTAACACATTAGGTGGTGTGTTTAAGAGGACTAGGTTCGTCTAATAGTGGTGCTTGAGAACTCAAGCAGGTCAGGTTCGTATCGAACCAAGCTGGACTGGTCAGCGGGATCAAACATGGGAGCAAGTGCTGGACAGTTGCTGTTGGCGAGTGCATCTCATGGCGTTTAGTTTGCAAAAATTCTCTATCGAGCAGTGCGCCTTAACGACGCTTTGTCATAGATGAGGAAAGTGGTCAGCGAAAGAGGTACAAATTCCTACGGCAACACCAGGCATACATCATTGAGACAGTTGATTGGAGGAGGAGAAGGAACTTAGATATCCCTGTCTATCCTCCAAAGTCATTTCCGCAACAGGTTTCGTTGCACCCTTTTAAAAAGGTATGTGTGTGTGTGGGCGTGTGTATGCCAAACACTGTTTCGGATGAGTTCAGTATCCGGTAGAGAGTCGGACATTATTGTTGTACGGCAGAACCAGACACATACGAGAACATGATTGCCATCGGTGCACACGGTCATACTCGCTCCATTTACTCCACACTTACCTTGTATTCATATTACGTTACTCATTACGCTTACACACAGATGTGGTATGGAGCAACCAGCCATGTGAGTCGGCTGACGGATGATGGCTCACGATAGCCAATCATAACAAACGCTTTTTGGATGAGTCGGTGACTGTCAGTGCTATTGGTTGCTTCCCTTCTTCAAAACTAGCAAACGGCTTTAGGCTAACGTGCATCATTGACTGATGTTTCATCGCTGTATTTGGATTTCTCTGGATCTTGATTACTCTGGAAATATAGTGTGCTAATCTCCTCGGGATGCGATGGGTAGCGGCTGGATGGGTTATTCTCCGTCCGCGCAAGCTCACATAAGCCAGGTTTTGTCCCCCCGGCGGAAGACAACAAGTAAGTTATACGCTATGGCCCCATTTTGTGTTCATTTCGAAATTTACTAACATCCGAAATGGAAAATGGGCAATAGTGGACCATTAACGCGACCCCACCCAAGGAAGCCCAGAAGGAAAGCGTGGATATTTCAGTGTACTACGAGTGGCGCATTTGATTTCGCGAATTGGAGGGAAACAGTCTCTGCGAAGTTGCAAAAATGTGGCTGTTTTGTTCACTCTATCGTGTACTCTGTACAAACTTCAACTTATCATAGTAATCAAATTCCAGGTGTGTTCAGGACTCCTGTGTTGCTTTTAAGCACTTGAACATACAACATCAACGTGAACCGTTGGCTGAAGACAGGAGCGTTGCAAAATGTGTCAAGGAAATATTCATCGTCGCATTCAGATGTTGTAGCAGCTGGACCATCTAATATGCCTGCTGAGAATGGAGAAATTCTGACCTTCGACTTACCTGCACTACTTGATCAGATACAACATAAATCTATGCCGACCGGAGAATCTGTACCCGTAGATACGAGGAGTAACTACAACGATATTTATCTCTTTTAGATTTATGGAGTCCAACAGTTGCCCACGTGTCTCGTGTAACAATGTGCTTCCGACCCGTTCCATTGGGTATGTAAAAAGGGCAGCATTTTGAAAAAATGAACGGTGTTTGTAACCGCATAAAAAGGAGTACTTTGAGCGCAGGCATTTGAACTGTTCAACACCCAAACGTACTTGCTTCATGCGTCTCAGACAGTAAATGAAAAAGCCACTGAAGCAACTTACATAGTTAGTTATCGTATTCCGCTAACAGCAAAATCTCCCACAATGGGCGAGAAACGTAGTAGGCCATGTGCAATCAAAATGGCTAAGTGTATGCAGGATGAAAAATCAGCGAAACATCTGTCGGTAATACCGCTATCAGATGACACAGTATCACAAAGAACTAAGACACCAGCGACTGCTGTTTAAGAGAGGATTACCTCGTGCAAAAGCTATTCACAGTTCGCTCTTCCAACGGTGAAGTCGACAGATGTGGTTTGCACGCCATCAACACCAACTAACCCCGGAAGAAGACATGTTTTTGGATGAGCCTGTACCGAAGCACCGTAGTAATGCTGAGATGTTCAACTACGCGAATAATTTTGTGCACTAAAATAACACTTCAAGAGACAACTGTACTACCATTTGCACTCATGGTGTCAAAGCAACGACAGGAAAGGTTGATGGCGTTGTGCCAAGCATCAAAGCTGTTGCGAAAGCCTGCACAAGAAGCTAATGTATTCCCCATTGACAAGCAAGTGCCGTAAGAAAAATGTCAACCAATCTCAAAACGGTCCTCGAGGATGTAGTGAAATTAAATAATTTCAATAATCGTCGCCCTCTGAACAACCGACTGTTCAAGCTTCTTCGTGACGACATGAGAAGTGCCCAGATATCGTTACTTCCACACGGAAGTAACATCTATCTCCCGTGACAAAATATTACGGGGTTTGTCAAAATTGGGTACAGAAGTCTACGCTTTCTATATGGAGCATCAACATGCTTTACATTTCCGAGTGACTGATAGTAGGTGATTAGCAATACTTTCCTATTTGACCGACATCTTTGCAAAAATAAATGATGTAAGCCCAGCACTGCAAGGAAAACCTGCGACCATATTCAATGCAAATGAGAAAATTCGAGGGAGAGAAGCGTTAGGATTTTTGGCAATTTCTGTTCGAAGTAGAGATCTCTACAGCTTTCCGGAATTATACAACCTTCTGGAACAGATGAAGTCGGGCACAGAAATCCAAGAGGAAATTGTACACCATTTGAAAGATCTGGTAGAAATCTTATCTCGGTTTCTCCCCAGCGAAGACGAGGAAACATTGAAAGAATTTTCGTGGGTCTAGAACGCATTTACTTGCATGAGAAAGCATTCTCCTTTCACATCTCTACGGTATAGGAAAGTCATCGATATGATATCAGCTTCTTCCCTTTAGGATGGGCTTCACAGATTGTCACTGTCTGGTTTTTGGTGTGGTATGATGGACGAGTATCCTGTCCTATGGAAGACAGCTGCCTCCGTGTATTTTGTATTTGCCAAAAATTATCTGTGTAAAAGTGCATTTTCGCATTACATCTATACAAAATTAAAGTACCGCCATTGACTTTAACGTGAACCAGACACGTAGTTGCAACTTTTTTCAATAACGGAAAACATCAAACAAGTCAGTGCTGCATGTCAGAAATAACTTAATGCCACGCTTTATGCCCTACTCTACGTTGTCTTTTCTACCCAAATTCAACAGCTTTCATTTTTTACTAACATTAATATAACATCCGTGTTACTTCGGGGCACAGCAAAAAACGTTTTCAGGACAGTGTGCATCATTTGCACTTTAGTGAAGTCTAGTCCCTTGGTTAACAATATGTCAGGGTGTTCGCTGTGCGAGATACCACTAAATAGGGATCCGCGGGCCTGAAATTTTGAGAAACATTGACGTAGAAGTATGTGGCTACTAGTATCAACAGAAAGAAGTGACCGGCGACGCACAGGGGGTGGGATTCATCAAGTTAATTACATAAGCCTCAGCAAACTAAAGTAGACAGGCGGCACTCTGTCGACAAGATACTTTGTTAACTGTTGTTACTGTTTCTGTTGAGCGAAATTTGTTAAAAAGCGCTAAAAACTGCACCAACCCAGTGGATATGCTGTCCTGTAAAATAGGCTCCCAATCACGATCACGTCGTGCGGCAGTGCAACAAAACTACATAATGTACTCGGAAGTTACTCGACCTGAGCATGATTATGACCTTGTTCCTGTGGTGGAGATCGTGTGATCGATAGTTTTAAGCGGGCACGGATAGCATCTAAAGGGTGAAGTCGACGAAATTCACTCAAACATGAGCTTGTTCCACGTCCCCCACTAACGCAAAC